ACACTTGTTCTGTGAACTATTTTGGAAATTTTCTAATAAAAACATGCTTTTTAGCAAACATCAAAATTGTTTTCAAAATTTAAAAAATTATTTTCGTACACTCTAGCAGCTCCGACATTGATTTGAGAAGACGAAGCTCACTTTAAAAGAAGAAGAATATATATATCTACCTTCTACCTTTTGTGTTTGTGAAAAGGAAAGAAGAATGAAGAAGAGGACAAGGAGAACTAAAAAGAAGATGAAGATGCAGAGAAGAAGATGAAGATGAAGATGAAGATGAGGGTATAACTGTCAATTTGTCAATCCTGTTAACAAAAGTTAGTGTACACTTTAGTCTAGTAACTACATTGGGATTATGTGGTGATTTCCAAAGGTTAGGGAAGTAATCCGCTCTCTGCCCAAATCATAAGGGGTAAATACAAAATAATGATTCTTGGTTATATATATGATCATGTTTACAAAATTTCTTAATATTTCTTCGTAAGAAAAATAAGTATATGACGTCACTTAACACTATAGACATGGTTTTCTTGGCAAACATAGTTTTAAAACTTAGGAAAATATTATGGATCCCAAATAATCTATCAAATTTTTTACCAAACTTTTCACATAGGTGTGAGACCCACACAAACTCACATATGTGTGGGTCCCACACCTATATGAGAGGTTTAATAAAAAATTTAATAGATTATTTAGAGTTTCTAACATTACTCTAAAACTTAGCCATTTTGATTGGCAACAGCAGCCCATTCCCAAAAAGATATCATACATCACTATTTTAGCTCAAAGCAGTGCTTGCCACGCGTAGGTGCACAACAGGTACCTCGAATCCCTTTTTGGGTGGTCATTTTCTGTTAAAATAATTAAAATGGTGCCTTCAATCAATCACAAATACCTAGACCTTTTATGTTGTCCCTTCATCATTCAACACATAAATGTAGCCCTCACTCTCTTAACCAATGAGAGAAGAGAAATGCACCACATGACACCTACCCTCTTTGCACACAAGAATTTCTTTAATTTTAGAGTTTTAATTGAGTTTTCATGATGTGGCAAGAAATATAAAAAATAAAAAAAATAAAGTCAAAACATCACATCACAATGAGGTCCACTCTTATTAGAATTCCCAATCATTTTTGTAATTAAAAAGTTAAAGCATTCAATCACATCATTTTCATTATTTTTTTATGAGTAAGGGTAGAGATTATGAAAAAAATTATCATGAAATGTTTTATGAAAATTCTCCATATTTAAATTACATATGCAATAAAACACCACATACTAATTAAAATAAAAAAATCTTCATGAAACATTTAATGATATTTTTTTTATGATTCTTAATATTACTCATTTTTTTTATACATTTTTTTTGTAAAAAAATAAAAAAATAATTGAAACGGTACTTTGAAGCTTTAATGTTGTCCATTTTTGGAATTTTATACTGTTAGCAATAGTCACATAAAGTTGGATGTTTTTTTTTTAAGGATAAATTACAAACCCACCTTTAAGATTTACTTAAATTACAAATTATCTTTGTGGTTTTAGAAATTACATTATGCCCTCTAAGGTTTCTAATTTCATAACAAATAGGTCCTTTTATTAATAAATCATCAAGTTAATTAAATTTTTTTAATAATGTTAAAATTTTATTTTAATTAATAATTCAAATAATTTTATTATTGTATAGATGAACATTTAAAAATTTTACTTTTTTAATTAATTCTGTTCAATAAAAAATTTTGACAGTGAGGTATTTGTAATTTTTCAAACTATAGAGGGCAATTCATATTTTAAGCAAATCTCAGGAAGTATATTTGTAATTTATTTATTTTTTAAAATAATTATAAAAGGGTAAAAATGTAAGATTTTATAATATGATGGGTAGCGGTCAGTTGGGAAGAATGAAAAATGGTTGAGAGGGTGGGAATGTTGCGAAGGAGGGGTGGTTTGGTAACAATGTAAATAAGTAATTTATTTATTTATTTATTTGTTATAATTTTTCATATTATTTTTTATATATATTTTTATTTTTTATATATTTTTTTATAAAAAGTCAAAAAATACTAAATAAATAAATCCTAAACTATCCCGAGTGTTATTAGAAGTGGCAATAGTAGCAAGAAAAATGTTTTGGAACTCTAATTCTTGAGTTTTAAAACCAACTCTAATGAGCTAGTAATGGGTCCCATCCACTGTGATGCAATGTTTTGGTCTCTTTTTTTTTTTTTTGATTTTTTTTTTCATGTCATTAGTGTTCCATTAGAATACCAAAATTAATGTTCTAAATCATTGTTGTAGTAACGATGATAAAATGTGATAGTGGTGACTAGAGTTAAAGAGCTTCTAGTGGTAGGAAGGTGAGTAAAATATCATGTTAGAATGAGTATTTGAAGAATTTTTTTTGGACAAATTACACTAATAGTCCCTACAATTTGGAACTCGTATCACTTTGATCACTAACTTTTTAATTGTGACAAATTTGATCATACATTTTGAATCTTGTTCCAAATAAGGATAATTGAATATCCTATTGTGTTTGGATGATGATAGTGGGAGGTGTGATAGTGGCTAGATCTTTAGGCGATGTTTGGTTGAGGATTTGGGAGGGTGGATTAGATTATCAATCCGTGAGACCTACCTAACTCTTGTTTGGATGCAACAAAATATCATAGGATTAGTAGTGAAGGGGGCTTAGTAATCCCCATTTGTACAAAAGATTAGCTTGGGTAAATTTTAAGTGGAATTAGGAAAATAGTGAAGGGGATTGAGTTTATTTTATACAAAAAAATTATTTTTTAATTTTATTTTTTTTAACCAAGTGACCTATTTGTTTTAGGTTTTTTTAATATAGAAATAATTTATTTGTTTATTTATTTTATATAACAATAATTTCACAATCCCATCACTAATCATCTCCCATATTATCATCAAAACAAACACACTTTCACTTTATCCCCTCACTAACAATCTACACATTAACAATCTCTTCACTAGCAATTCTTTCACTAATAATTCTATCCAACCTAATCTGCCAAATAAACATGGCTTTAAGAGTTTCAGTGTTAGTGAAAAGAGTGAAATTTGATATTTAAGTCAGTGCTCAAAGAAAATAATAAAGATTTTAAAGTGGGAAACCCATATTATGGTGTGATCCTATTATAAATTGACGTAATTTTATTATAAAATTTGGTAATATTAATTATAAAATATGTAATCTCGTCATAAATTGGTATAACAAAAAAATATTGTAGCCAAATTATAATTTTTCTGTAATATCAATCACAAAAGTTTGAATATTTTATTATGCTAATTTGTAATAAGATTACGCATTTATAATTGATATTACGAAATTTTGTAATAATATTATATTAATCTATAATAAAGTACATATGATATATACCCACACCAAAGTAGATGAGTTCTAGATAAATTTGGCAGAGGACAGCTGTCCTCTTGTTATTGGTAAGTTATGTTCAAAATAGAGGTGCTCGCGGTTCGGTTGTGACTAGGGAACCTCAAATCCGTCATCCGTTCACTAGATTAACAGATTAGAAAAAAATCAATCTGCATCCATCTGCCGGATTAGAGGATGTGGATTGAGTCGATTGGAAGATTGGCGGATGGATGTGAATCGGTTTGGCTGTTTAAACTTTTACAAATTTTGAACGTAATATAACTTGTCAACATTTTTTTTGGATAACAATCCAACTCAACATATCCAAAATATAGTCAAGTAAATTGTTAAATACCAATATTAAATACATATAAAACAAAACTATGCATTATCAAAACTATTTCATTATTATTTTTATTCAGAAACCATTTAATTTGATTTTTTTTTAAAAATAACATAATTAGGCCTTATATTTTTCATACAGAAATACCAAATATCAACACTTGCAATTTGATAAAAGGATTTCCAAATTGAAAATACAATAGAATATCTAATTTTTTTTTTTTCAATTGAAAACACAAACAAAATATCTAAACAAATTGAAAACACAAAATTTTACAAATTAGTAGAGGTGCTAGCGGTTTGGCGGTTTGATTGAGCCCAAAGGAATCTCAAATCCGCCATACATTCAAAACTAGGCAGATTAAAAAAAATCAATTCGCAACCGTCTGCTCGTCATCATACCTTCGTCACTACTAGAAAAGGAAGTTTTGGACACAAATTTTTTTGTGATGGTTTGAAAAATGATGCCGTCATCAAATAAATGTTTTTACGATAGAAAATCCAAGATCGTGGCAAAAAATAGTTTTTTATGCGACGATTTATTACGCGTCGGTTTTTTTATTTTTATTTTTTTTTGTGATTATTATTTTTTATTTTTTTTGCGACGCCAGTTATTCTTCCGTCGCAAAAACTTTGGGTATGTTTGGTTTGTGTTTGAGAGATGTGTTTTAGAGATAAAAAGTATGAAAAGTTGTTTGGTTTGGTTTTTTTCAAAAGATGTTTTGGAAAATTATTTTGAGAGAGAGTTTTGGAAAAAGTGATTGATTTGATGTGTGTGAGAGAGAGATTTGTTTGAAAAACTTGTTTTGTTTACAAGTTTTGAGAAATTTTTTTGAAAAAATTTATTTAGTTTGATTATTTTTAAAAACTTATTTGTAGAAAAAATTTTTCAAATTTTTTTCAGAAATACAAACCAAACGAACCCTTTTATTTTTGTTTCCCGCGCCCTCCCTCTTTGCCTTGTCTTCCATTAGTATCCTCTTCTCAGATCAACCAAAAAAAAAAAAAAAAAAGAAAAAAAGATGTTTTGGAAAATTATTTTGAGAGAGAGTTTTGGAAAAAGTGATTGATTTGATGTGTGTGAGAGAGAGATTTGTTTGAAAAACCTGTTTTGTTTACAAGTTTTGAAATTTTTTTTTAAAAAAATTTATTTAATTTGATTACTTTTAAAAATTTATTTGTAGAGAAAATTTTCTAAATTTTTTTCAGAAATACAAACCAAACGAACCCTTTAATTTTTTCTTCCCGCGCCCTCCCTCTTTGCCTTGTCTTCCATTAGTATCCTCTTCTCAGATCAACCAAAAAAAAAAAAAGAAAAGAAAAGAAAAGAAAAAAACCGTCTGTCTTCTCCAGTCGCCATTCTTTGTCTAACTAGAGCTCCCAGTCGTCTATTTCCATCTCGCAGCTCCAACAACATCAGCGTAGGAAGAGTCCCAGGTAACCCTCCTCTCTTTTTCTTTCTTCTCACACTCGCTCGCACAGACCCTCACAGTCTCTCTCTCTCGCTCTCGCTCTCGCTCTCTCGTTACCCTTACAGACTGTTTGTAGCAACGGCGGCGGCGACTTCCCACCAGTTCTCCCTCCGCCATCCAGGTATATCTCTCCTCTGCTGTTCTCTCATTTTTTTTCCTCTTATTTTGCCTTCATCGGAATCAAACCCTCTTCATTGGATTTAATTAAATAAAAATAAATAAATCAAACCCTAAACACCAGTTTTAAAAAAATTAGGTTTTGATCTCAATTGAAAGCGAGAAACATGAATTCACAATTTTCTTGAACTTTATTTATTTGAAATAAACGAAGAACGAACTTGTGTCACAAATTACAGTTTCTAGGGTTCGATCTGAATACAAATCAAGAAACTTGAGGTCAATTCTCGCTTCAATTTTTTGAAACAAAACAAAGTTGAAAGGGAATGAAGAAGAAACATACGAATCTGACTCACAAGTCGAAGGAGGCTTGTTGTAAATGAAAACAATGTGATTGCAATTGTGTGAGAGGGTTTGATCTGCTAGAAAACAACACACATATATTAATCAATTTATATGAAGAATAGACTAGCCAATATGTATGTATATGTGAGAGAAAGATTGAGTACCATCCATGGCTTTAGAAATCAATACAGTGAAAGAGATTTGGACAGTGCTTTCTTTTGCCATTTTATGGACAGTGTGGAAGTAAAGTTTTTGTTGGTGCTCAACCTGATTGGGACTAGTCTACAATTGATCTTGTTAAAGTTAGAGTGGCTATATGGGTTAAGAACAATTTTAAGTTGAAAGATTACTCAATTAATGATATTTGTGTCAATCTTTATCAAGTGAGAATTGGCAACTGAATCATAAAACTAAGGCAACAGTAGGAGTGTTGGTTGCTGTTTTATTCTGTTAATGCTGGTGCTATTTTCTTTTTATTGTTTTCTGTTGGTGTCTAGCCAATGTTTAGTGTGTCAACCTAGTTAAGATATGTTCTACTAGCAATGATGCAATGTTATCACGTTGGTTTTCTTGTTCTGGTTGTTCCGGTGTCTTTTAATGTTCTTTCTGCATTTACGAATAAAATGTTTCTTCTTTGCTGATTAAAAAAAAAGAAAAAGAAAAAAAAAGTGCATACTAGAGCACGAGGGGTGTGTGATCATGAGTGGATGCCTTTGGAAACAATGGATCAAATGAGAGTACAAATGAGGAGTACTCAATGGGTAACAATTTATTTTATCATTGATTGGGTGATTGCATCTTCCATTGATTTCATCATTGACTTAAGTGGTCTTGGTTCAAATAAAAAGTCACAGGCCCTTTGGAGTTGCATGATTTGTGTAGATTATGGCTAGAAAGAAAATTCATTTTGGGTGTTGGTTTTGGCACCTTTTAAAGGAATTCCTATGCCAGTTGTAATTGTGTATTATTTTTTATTTTTCTTCTCTTAGAGGATGTATTTTCCTCTTCTTCTTTTTTATTCTTGTGCTTCTATTTTCTCTTTCATTGATGTCTCTTTTTTTGTTGCTGATAAAAAAAAAAGTAGAAGATATACATGCTGCATTAGATTTCTTTTTATAAGTAGAAGATATACATGCTGCATTAGATTTCTTTTTATGTTTCTTTTATTTGAGCAAAGAGTTAACTAGTTATTAAAGTGGCACTATATTTTACTACATGCAACATACAAAATTTATTGATAGATAGCTAATGGAAAAGTATGTTTCATAGGCAAAGAACACTCTTTTATTCTCAAGTCTGGCTGCTTGAGTTAAATCAGTCCCAACATGGACTTGAAATTCAGGTTAGAGTGGTGCTTAGGTCCAACTCAACATGAATAATTATTGGATTTGGCCTACCAAAAGTTTGTGTTGGGTTGGTTGGTTTGGGCAAGCCTATCCCAACATGCAGAATAGGGATATATTTTCCTGTTATTCAGTTTCTAGACGTGACTCCAAATGTTTTCAGCAGTAATTATGTATATAATGTTGTAGTCCAATGTTATGGGTTATTATATATCTTCATCTTTTATATTGAAAAGAAGTTGTTTATATTGTGGGTGTTTGGGAAGTGGGTTTTTTTGTGGGTTTTTTTAGTCGTAGGATATTATTGGAGAATTTTTTTTTTTGTATTTGGGAAGATAGTTGAGTTTTTTTGTGGTTGGATATGATGTTTGTGAGAGAAAAAGTGAAATAATTATGGGGTTTGATGTGATATTTTGTTTGGGTTGGTTTTTTTTGGTTTTGTAAAACATTTGTTTTGTAGTGAAAAAAATAAAAAAAAAAAACCCAAAAACCTAGTTGCCAAACACCGCCATTATTGCTTATCCAACTAGTACCTTAGTTGGTTTCTCCACTTGTCAAGCTAAAGTGTGTTAGTTTGATGCAGTAGCTTGTCAGAATATTCATTTGACTTCAGAATGTTTTTACATTGCTACTGAACAATTTTTTGGCTCAATTGTGAAGGAAGTTAGCATGGAGATGATCTATGTTTATAGCCTTCATTATAGTGTGGGGGACAGTACCATTTTATTGTTAGACTCTTCAGTGCAACACATTCCATTGCAGGAGGTAATCTAATCTTTCACCATTCTTCCGGTTTATTTTCTTTATTCTTTTATAAGAATCAACTTTTATTTATTGTATTGAACGTCTGTGCTTCGATTCTGTTAGGGTGCACTCATTGATGTCAAAATTACTTTAAACAAAATATGGATACTCAAAGAAGATGGACTAATAATGTTGAGTTTGTTTAATACAACTGATAATGGGCAAGTATTCCAAGAATGTTACTCATTGACCAATGATATTTAAGAGTGATGCTTTGGCTTTACCTTAAATTTCATTATGTTAACTATAAAAGTTACATTAATTTTTAGGCATACTATGGCACTTTTAGGTAAGTGGGACGTTATAGCAATTCTGATTTAGACCCGACCTGTTGATATTTTGGATCTGGGTTTCATTGTCTTATATGGTTGTTAAAGTCTGGTTTCTTCTTATTCCTCATTGAGTTTAGTTATCAGAGTGTCTTGGTTGCATTTGGAACAGGTTGGTTGCTTGTTTTTCAAATCAGTTGTTGCCCATAATTTTGCTTCTTCACTTGAGTGGCACTTCCTGCGCTTAAGCAGTCTTTGTGAACTTCCAGTACTTTTGCAGGTTTGTAAAGATACTGGGAGTTAGCATTCTTTGCTCGAGCGGTCTTTCTTGTGCTCGAGCAGTGTTCGCTCGAGTGGTGCTTTTTGTGCTTGAGCGGTGGTCTTCTGTCTGTAAAACTTTTGAGAGTTTGTATTTTATGCTCGAGCGGTCACTTCCTACGCTCGAGTGGTCACACTTTTTGTGTCTGGATGTTCGAACAACACTTTCTGTGCTCGAGCGGTTTGCGCGTATATCAGATCATAGAGTTACCTTTTTAAGTCGCTTTTTCATTTCTCTTTCTCTGTAAACATTCTAAAATCCCTAGATCCAGAGCTTCTCTCTCTAACACTCATATTCTCTCTACAAATACACCTAGATCCATTAATTTCTTCACCCTAGTCTCTTTGACAAAAAGGTAGAGCCCATCGATAGCTTTCTTTTGATCGGAGCAAAGTTAGTTTTCGACATCCTTGAAATTTCTCCATTCTCTCTCTTTCTCTCTCTCTCTCTCTCTCTCTCTTTCTTCTCTCCTCTTCGCTTCAAGAGGTAAGGACTATTTTCTAAACTCAATATGAGTTCGGTAGCATATTTGTGATGTATCTTGTTATTTATATTTGGTAATCATTTGGTTGATCTTGAAATGTTATTGTTGGTTGAGGGTTTGTACAAATTAGGGGTTGCTTGGTTATGATTTTTCTATTAAATCTATTTTTGGTAAACAAACTTGCATTTGATTTTCTAAAAGAGAAAAATCCCAATTTGTAGAAAAACCCTAAATGATATTGTTTTGGGAGTTGGAGTTTGATTGATTTTGGTAAATGGTTTGGTTGGAAAGAGATGGGAAGGAAATGGTTGTGGGATTTTGAAAATAGGTGGTGTTACACTTTTGAAAAATATGTCTATATTGATATCTTTTAATTATGCCATTAGAGATAATTGTTTTGGCTATTGATGAAGGATAGTATTGCCATGTGTTGGAAATTGCATGTTGATTAGGCAAATTGAAATCATTTATATCATGGAGCATGTAATGAATTTTGGAAATTGAAACTGTATGTTTTGGAAATTCTCAAATTATGTTTTGGAACATTTGCATTGTTTTGGAAAAATAATATTTTGAGTTACATGTATTGTATTATTGAAAAGAGTAAATAAAATAGTGAATTTGGGAAGTAAGTATTGTCTCATTGAAATAAGTTGGCCTGAGTGTCCATGGTGAAAGTCTTAAAAACCACGCGCATACATGGGTGCTGATCCTGCGGACGAAATATCCGTAAAATAGCAATATTAGCGCTTGTATAGCCTACGTTTACATGAGTGCCAGTTTACAGTTTTTCGCGGACGAAATTTCCGTGAAAGGTTGTATTCGTTTTGGAGGTTTACCCATTTTATTTATTATTATGTTGGTTTGGAATAGGATGTTTGGAAAATGGTTTTAACAATGTTTTTTGTTGTTGTCTAGTGATGTATTCGCATTTGATTTAGCAATGTATTTGCTGGTTGGTATTGAGGTACTGGGATTGGTTTTTGGAAAGGAATTTTATATCAAGCTGTTAATTTGAACTTGGAAAACGTTTTGATTAAACATAAAGTTTTGGTAATTGGAAAGAAAGGATTTCATTGAGAAATCAAATGGTTGAAAATGCATTTGGGCATAGTGTATATATATATATGTGTGTATGTATTGCATCATGATCATTTATGCTGGCAGAGTATGGTTAGTTTTTGAAATATTCTCTACTGAGCTTTATACTCACCCTATGTGGCTGAAATGTCTTTTAGGTGTATATATGTGGATGTGGACTGTGACGTAAGGTTGTGTTCAGAATCGTGTATGATGGTTCCGTTATTTGTAGGCCATGGACCATTTATGTTATTTACTGGCCATGTGCCATTCTTGTAAGGGTTACACCCTTGTGTATGATGTAAGTCTCATGGCGTTCAATCTAGTCTATAACATCTATGTATGTTTTTAGTTACAGAACATTCATTCGACTTAGAAGTTGTATCTAGGAATATATAAAATCAGATAAACATATGTATTGTGTGACTATATTATAGTCATCTGCATGAGAGTTGTTATCTATTGCTCATCGTTGGTGGTTTATTCACGTGAGCCGAACCGTGTAAATCCGGGGCGTGATAAACGTATCCATTTTATTTCTTGCTTGGATTTTTGAAATTTGAACTTAGTGCTCTGATACTTCACCTGACTGTCAGAGCCGCGTCTTTTTTTCCCCCCTTTCAACTTGTAAAAGAAGTTCATATACACTATCAAAAAGAATTAGATGGATAATTTTTGTCTTGTAGCTTTTTTTTTTCTTCTACATAACTGTGTAAGTACTAGAAAGGGTAGTTTCACTTGAGTTGTTGCTTGCTGTGATTTTGCAGGTATCAATTCATATGTGTTAGTTCTTGACAATGATTTGTATCCCAGTAATTGCTACTCTTGAATGTAAATGTGAATTAAGTCAACACACACATATATATTCATTTGTGTTTTAATTGATCTAATGGACTCTATTTAATGTTTATGCTTAATTGATCCTGCAATTTTGATGTTAGGGGGGTAGCACAATGCTATTCTTTGCAAGAAGCAGTTGTTGTTGATCAACTATTTCAAAGTTCTGAACATTCTTCAGATGATTTTCTTTGGCTTGCTCAATCAATTTTTTCATCTTTGAAGGTACTAGGAACATTTTTACCATGTCATCTTCTATACGTTTATTTGCTTCACTTTACATGATACTTCTTTCTACAATGTTTTAGTTAGTCCACTTAATAACTTGGGAAATTCAACATTTTCTTCACCTAGTAGCTTGTTGGTGTCGGTGTCTGATTGCTTTAATCTATTCTTTTTTTTGAGCTTTTTCGTCATGCTTTTCTTATCTTAATTTAATAAGAAACAAAAGATTATGCAAAATTCTCACTTGACTATGTTCTAGAATGCGAGGATCATATAAATGTATCTAGAACCTGAACCTTCAAATTTATAAGGAGTGGCGTAAGAGAGTTGAGTATCTGATTGCACAGAACTGAACAGAACTTGTGTGTAATTACTATGGAACTAAACAAAATTCTCCCTTCGAGCTTGGAGGGATTCAGTGGTAAATCCAGAGTAAAGTGTAGACTTTCTCTAGGGAAGTCATTGTTAGTTCAGAGAATTAGCCAAAAATTTCTGCTGAGAGGATTAGACTGTAATAGATGCCCATAATTTGGAGGATTTTCATCCTTCTTGTGTATCATTTGTCATTTATATGATTTTCTGTTTTCTTATAATGAAGGAGGTTAAAAATAGATTACCATATATTTGCATCAATATACTGAAACCGAAATATGTTGGTTTGATTTTATACTGTTTCCTCTCTCTGTTTTTTAACTATTAGTGGAAAGAATGCCACTTCAGGATTGCAGTGATGGATGTCAATGCATTGGTTTTTAAGTTACATTGTTCATTTTACATCATGACATCCTTCTTAGAATGTGCTCATTTGACTTGGCACTGCTTACCATCGTCCAATTGAAAATCAACTGTGACTGTAACCTATTGTCGTTAGATTATAGCACAATGTGTACAATACCTTATTTTAATAGTATTATCATCATTGTAGGATGTAATTAAAGTTTCTTTGGATAGTTCACGTATACCAATAGTCCAGTTGGCTGAAGGACTTCTTATTAGTTATGATCCGTTGTGTGAAATTGATGGAGTTCCAATTGGCCCTGAATATTGCAAAGTCTTTGCCTTAAAAGTGAAAAAGCCGAACACTCTTTTGGAAACAACATCCCGGGGTCTAAGAACAGTTGGAGAAACTGTTGGAAGATAAATTGTGTGACGCTCGATTCATGTATATGTTACAATCTTATTTATTTGTTGAAATAAATATCAAATTTTTTACATATAGCAATCTTGACTTAGACCCGACCCATTTATTACCTTTGAATCTGGGAAACCATATTCGCGATGGTCGTTCCTTTCTCCTCATATTTGTTTTGGCTTCAAGGGTCGACACCACCCTCGTTGGTGTTGACACCGTCTTCTTTTTCCTTGCCTTGTTTGTTCCAAGGGTCTACACTCGTCTGGGAGGTGTCGACACCTTCTTGCTGCTGTGTTCCTAAGTGGCTATTGAAATTTAGGGTCAACACCAACCTTGGTGGTGTCGACACGTGCTTTTTTTTGTTGGCCTCAAAGGGTTGACACCGGTCTAGAAAGGGTCGACCCTTGTCTATTGCAGAATCTAGGGTTTGCTTGCTGAAATTTAGTGTTTGCCCATCGAAATATGTAAGTGTCTATTATACAATTAAATCTTTCATTGTGTAGATAGTTATTTCTGTGATTTGATTAACTAATTATTGTGCATTGTAGAGTCATAAGGAACATTGTAATTACTTCAAATAAGCAGATGAGGATGATGATGACACTAGCTCCACAATCCGTTCCAATGTTGGACCTCGGAAAGCTATAAGAACAGAAGAATTAAACGATCTAAGGACAAGGCTTTGAGAGATGGATAGTGAAATTCATAAGCATGGCAGAAGGCTTCAAAGGATGGAGAAGAACTTCAAGGCAATGATTTATGTCATTGTTTTTTGTCTTTTGGCACTTTATCATGTAAATGACTGTCTTTTGTATCTTTTTGTACTTTATGATGTTTTGTGTTGAATGTAATCAAATACTGTATGTTTTATGTTGTCTATGTAGATGAGTTCGGATTGTGAGCTTTCATAGGTTACTAACAAATGTGGATTGGGAAATGATTGTGTTAGCTTCTTGTCCAATTCTCAATACTTCTTGTGGTGTCACATGAATGACTTTTTCCATATAAAACCACTCTTTCAATCATATTGAAGACCAACCCATCAATTCCAATAATCTGCCCAACTGACTTAACCCTTCCTCATCAAGAAAAAAAGACGCATGCTTCATTAACTGACTCAAAAACAAATTCCATTTTTTTGACTAGCCCCTTTCACAATGAATTACCCCCTTTCACAATAATTTGCCCAACTGACTTCAAAACAAATTCAATTTTCTTGACTAGCCCCTTCCACAATTGAATTACCTGTATCATCCAAATGAATGAGACAGCTTCCCATACTAGAGGCATTTTCACAGTAACCTACCTTGACATTAGCATTAAAATAAAGACAAAGAAGCTAACACAATTTTATGAACTCAACATATCATATCCCAAGAGAATTGTTCTCAAACATTGCCACAAAATGAAGCCAACAAAAACATTGCCGCAAAATGAAGCCTGTTGTCATTTTTCACAAAAATAAACAAACAAAAAATGAATTGTTCTCAAACATTGGCACAACATCAAGCCAACACAAACATTGCCACAAAATGTAACCAAATGAAATAAAACCAAACTATCCAAAGTTTACATACGAATGTCATACACTTACTAGTACAAAACTAAAAAACAAAAAAAAATGGGGCATTTGAATCCGCATTTATATTCAAGTCAACAAATTTTGATACTACTGTAGAACTTTGACTGCTTATATTGTTGACCATTCCTGATCGAGTATGGGATGTACTTCTAATATTGTCCGCCATTTGTATTGTGCTAACCCCTGCCTATAAAAATAAAGTAAATATTATTTGGCACTATCCAACAACATTTTCACCAATCTAAAATTTAATTGATCAATAAAATATGTGTACTCATATATTGAACACATACCGATACATACATACTGTCATGTGTGCCATCCATGCAAGGAAAATAGTAAGGTTCATCTTGCGGCACCTTAACATCATACAGTAACAAAATTTCATTAGTAATTTCAAGCATTAAAATGAAAACCCACAACAAACAAAGTTCAATATACTAAGTTCTGTGAACACATACCGGTATATACATGCTGTCTTGTGTGCCATCTATAGAAGGAAAATAGTTAGGTTGATTTTGCGGCACCTTATGATCAAATAGTAACACTATTAAAATAAATATTCACAAAAACCATACAACACAACCTTTATATTTTAACACGTACCGGTTCATACATAGTATACTGCACGCCTCCCGTACAATAAAAGTTTAACTTACAAGGTTCACCTTGAAACACCTTGCGACCCTAAAGTAACTGACACTGGTGAATATTTTAAGATTAACAAATTCTGAAATTAAGATATGTAGTGAGAAATAAAAAATTTACCTATATAGAAGTAGCCTTCTTATTCTTTCCTTTCAACCGATTCACTATTGTATCAACCTTGCTAACCTTCCGATTCATGCAACTTTGGATTTAGAGCAACCCCAAATGTAGTATATGTGGTTAGAATGCTGTGTACCCTCTTTTCACGTCGTTTCTCCATCTCGAAAGAATGTATTTATTTGGCACCTCATATATGGACCTCTCAATGAGCACACAAAAATAATGTGTACACATAATACCTCTAAACTCAAACAACCGACACATATATTGGAGCTCACATTTAGTTGAATTACAGTACACAACAAATTCCATTTTCTTCATCCCCTCACCCAGAAGAACACCCTCCCTCACATGATAGGTACAATTTGCTCCCTCCTCATTGATAAGATTCGCACGACAGTACACTAGACGTTTCAATTCTGCTTGAACTTCTTTAAATTTAGAATTAGTGTAAGCTATGCGAAATTGCTTCTCAAAACGATACACTATTAAGCAATCATACAATTTGTTACGAGACTTAAAATCTGCATTTGTCTCATTCTCTACCTTACTTCTCAAGGCATTGTCATACTGCTCAACAAATTGCTTTAAGGTTGTCTTGGAGTTCACATATCCATCAAAAAATGCATTCATACTCTCATTTCGTTGTGTAGTTGACATGCCACCCCAAAATATGTTTTTAACATAGGTAGAAATCAACCTATGTCGCTCACGGTATAATACCCCCAACCACTCATTATCATTCAGATTAAATTTTGCAATCATTGATTCCCAGTATTCATCAAATTCATCTTTTGTGAATGAATCATAAATTGCATTACTCAAAGCAACCTTGATGGATTCATATTGTGAATATCCTCTCAATTTCTTCCTGCTGCATCGTTAACTTCTAGTCTCCTTTTCATCGGAGTAAGAATCCTCTTATTCATTGCAAAATGTCGTGAGTCAGTAGGAATCAAATCATGAGTGTGCTCAAGCACAACTGTAGTTAACTTATATTTTCCATCATTTTGTAGATTGGCTCTTACCCTTGCTTTACAATCACCTTTTTATGACAAAGATGGTTCCAGGGGATTTACTTTTGATCTTTTTGTTCTATTCCATGGCCGAGTACATTCAATTCCAAAGTAGTTCACTTCCCCATCTGTTGTTATATTTTGTGTTCTATAAGCTATAGTAAATCCAAGCTATTTTGCAAATTTAGCATAAAATGCGTACACTTTTTGCTTTGAGGTAAAATACATCCCCTTCTTTGGTTCTTCAACTTCACCACTCTCATTGAATTCAAGATTGTTATCATGTTCTTCAACTTCGTCACTCACATTGAATGAATTATTGTTTGACTCAATATCCATTGTAGCTTCAAAGTGAAATAGAATAGACATTCAGAGAGAAAGAAACTCAATTTAAGTTTAACAATACAAATATAAATTCTTTAAACCAACAATAACAACACAAAGAAACTCAATTTACTGGTATGAATGATTATGATACATTTACTTGAAACAGTAAACAAAGCAAATTCAATTCAAATTCAATATCATGTTCTTACTGTTCATTTTCAAATGTGGGTCTATTTTAAATCAATGTCAATGTTTAAATGTCAGTCCAAAACACTTCCTTCCAACCAAATTCTACAAAATCCACTCAAACATTCACATGTGTTTCTAAGCACACATGATCAAATAGACAGAGGCAGAATTGCCTCCCTCTCCATACCTCCAATGTCTAAAAATTGCCATATTGTTCCTTATAAGACTCAATACTTGTTCATAAACAGTAAATCAAAACATAAACATAAATAGTGAACAAAGTTAATCAATTACAAGCCTCAATACTTGTTTATTGTTTTTATGAGCAAACAGAGTTAATCAAATCAACTTTAAAAAAGACTCAATACTTGTTCATTTTTTTTCTGAGCAAAATCAAATCAAAACACTAATTCTTAATCACACAATGCGAAACCCTAAACTAAAAACAAAACCAACTAAGAGCAGGGACAACACACCCACCTGTAAGAGCAGCGACAACACCCTTCGGACACACAGCAGTAGCGGCGCACCCTTTGCCACACACAGCAGCAGCGGCAACACCCGTCGGCACATAGAGCATCAGCAGAAGCACCCGTCAGCACACACAAAAGCAGCACCAGCCTCGTCGGCGATAGCACCAGCACCTATCGGTTGGCTCCTCTCTCTACTCTCTAAACACTTCAATCAGCGATAGAAAAATGCTTGGGAGCACTAATTAGTGCTCCCACTAATTAGGTGGCAGTGGGCCCCGTCATTAATGATGTGATGTTTTGGTCTTGGAGTTGTAATGTGTGGGTTAAAAAAACTGAGATGGGCTACACAAAGAAATGGGGGTGTATATAGAACTCGGGCCATTCGAGTCTTGTGAGTCTCGAGCTACGAATTGCAACTGGATAAAGAATATGTAATTTTTAACAATAATGATTTATCCCTCATTTTCCTTCTATCCCCTTTGACCCCCTCTCTCTCTCTCATTGGTTACATTTTTTTTTTTTTTTTTTTTTTTTTCCTGCTCCTCCAATCACCAACCTTCTTTTTTTTATTTCAAATGAAATGTGTGGGTTAAACGAACTGAGATGGGCTATACAAAGAAATGGGGGTGTGTATAGAACTCGGGCCATTCGAGTATTGTGAGTTTCGAGCTACGAATCGCAACTGGATAAAGAATATGTAATTTTTAATAAATAAAGTACAATATTGATTTTCATCAACATATACCAAAATAATAATAATAAAAAAATTAAATAATATCACTATTACATGATATATTATTAATGTTGTATATTTTATTAATATAATTGAGTATAAAAATATAATCATAGAATTGAACAAAATATTATTCAATGGATTTTTTTTTTATAAATAATTCAGTTACAAAAATTATAATAGTCCATATAAGAGACCAATCTTTTTTTCTCTAATAAAATTTCATTGCTTTTAGAAAAGGGGAGAAAAAAAAAATCACCTTGTTTGGTTTTAATTTTTTGAATTCTATTTTTTAAAAATCAAGTTTTTTTATTTTTTGTATTTTTAGTGATTTCAAGTGTTTTCAGAACAGTGATCTAGTGTTTTTCATTTAGTGATTTCTATTTTTTTAATCTTTGTTTTTGTTATATAAATTTTAATTTTTTCAAATCACCTAGGAGGGTAATTTTTGTGTCCCTCATGGTTGGTTTTCTTAGATCTAGGGTACAGAGACTGTTTATTTACAAACATCTTTTGATCCTTTTTTATTTGAACAAAATCTCCCCCCAAAAGAAACTTATTGTAGTTATGTGTTTGATTTTTCTTGTTTTCTTTAAAATCTCGATTTTTTCTTTGGTTTTGGTTTAAAAACATGTTGATTTTCTTGTTATTGCTTTTAGTTCTTTGATGTTAAGGAATGGCAGCAACAATGGATTCATGTAGTAGCTCACTATTTCAGTCAGATTCAGACCCATTCAGGGGTAGCAACTCCGACGTGGCAGCAGAAGGAGAAGAAGATGAGAGGAGATAATGGAGAACAAAATTCTATAATTTTTATATTTCTTAATTTAATTATTTTGGAATTAGACTTTGACAAGGATTTTAAATAGTTTAGAATTTTAATCTCCTATTCTCTTAGGTTTTCTAATTTGTGTTGATTTAAGTTTTCTAGTTTATTTTAGAATTACTTTTCCTACAAGTATTAGGTTTAGTATATTATAAATAAGCCTATGAGCATATGTAATGGATTCATTCAATGAATAATATTTTAAAGAGTTTTTCTTCTATCTTCTTTGTGGATTCAAGGGTGTTCTTGTAGATTCAAGAATTCTCGTCTACTAGAACGATATCTAGTCCATGTTTTGTCTACTAGAATGATATCTAATTCATTCCTACGCTACCACCCTTGAATCCACAAAGAAGATAGAAGAAAAACTCTTTAAAATATTATTCATTGAATGAATCCATTACATATGTTTGTAGGTTTATTTATAATAAACAAAACCTAATACTTGTAGGAAAAGTAATTCTAAAATAAACTAGGAAACTTAAATCAACATAAATTAGGAAACCTAAAAGAATAGGAAACTAAAATTCTAAATTATTTAAAATCCTTGTCAAAATCAAATTCCAAAATAATAAAATTAAGAAATATAAAAATTATAGAATTTTGTTCTACATCATACTCCTCTTGTTTAAAAGAACTCGTCCTCGAGTTCCAACTAGAGATCTGTCATCTTCCATGCCAAATAAAGAGATATTTTGAATACTTTAGTCGCTAGCCCTTCTTCCAAAAATTATATATAGAAAAGTTTTCTTTCTGTAAGTTCTTCTCTAGATGCTTCAATTGATTGACAAGATTAATTAGACAAGAATTGAAAATCAAATTAAATTGCTCCACACCAAGAAAATCAACAGAGTGTACTTTATGTTGATGTTGGATACTCTCTAGACTTTGCACTGTCTTAGATTCACTTGAACATTGAATTATCATCTTTTGAACATCAATTACATCCTCAATCAACTTCTCTGGTGCACATGTCAACTTTATTACCTCATCTTTTATTTCTTCTTTTTCATTGAGTTCAACTTGATCTCCTTCTTTTGCACTCTCATAACCATCATAATAATCAAGAGATAATAGTTTTGTCATTAGAAGCTCTTGGCTAACTTCAATGTTTTTCTCTTGCTTCACCTCTTCATCGTCTTCTTTAAACTTCTTGATTAAATTAATTATAATGACCTATTTTTCATCAATTTCAACGTTCTCACTGTTGTTGAAATCAACTTGCTTTTCTACTTCAATTGAATGTCTATTTGGGTCTTCAAAATTTTCAAATATTGAGATACTCAAAATCTTTTCTTCTTCAATGCGTAGTGGAGCGTGACAAATTTGTTGACCTACAAGATTTGATTGACCTAAACTTGGCAGGACCATAGTCATGTTCCTCGAATAATCTATATCCATAATTGCATAATAATTATTGAATTGTGAAGAATATTGTGAATCAAAATTACTTTGGAACAATTGTTTCGATTTAAGCTTTCTTTGATATTGTTGATACAACATCTGCCCGTGATTTGATTGAAGGAATCTAGAACTCATAAACTTCTTCATCTTATGCCACATCCCAATGGGTTGTTTGTATTGTCGCCTTCGATCATACTGGTATTGTTTTCACCATGTAGAAACATAACCTTGTAACTTACATGCAACATATTTGGCTTGCTTTTCTTCAAAGATTTCCATACACTCAACGAATTGGTCAACTTTGTGAAACCAATAAATAAAATCTTCAGCATGACAAGAAACATTAAAATGGGGAATTTCTAGTTGTACTTGATAATTTGAAAAGTCATGATTGATGCAATTATTGCTATTGAACACATCACTGAATCTTCGTTGTTGCCTACCAACTGGTATTCACCATAATCCTCAAATAACTCATCTTCAGATTCATCATCACTATCGTTTTGATAACGAGAAGATCATCTCAAGACGTTGTGGTTAATAGGCTGGCCTTGGGCAATTCCCATAGCGCAGTTTTTATTAACGTTGTGACCTTGACTCAAATTCTATTAGATCTTTCTCTACGCTTATCGTCAATAGAGTTTGTGCTTCCTCCTTCGAAGAATGACATCAAGCCAAGCGAAACTTTGCTCTGATACCAATTGACGCAGCGATAGTGTAGGAAGGAACTAGATATCGTTCTAGTAGACGAGAATTCTCGAATCCATAAGAACATCCTTGAATCTGCAAAGAAGATAAAAGAAAAACTCTTTAAAATATTATTCATTGAATTAATCCATTCGTAAGCTTATTTATAATAAACTAAACCTAATACTTGTAGGAAAAGTAATTCTAAAAGAAATTAAGAAACTTAAATCAACACAAATTAGGATACCTAAGAGAATAGAAAACTAAAATTCTAAACTATTTAAAATCCTTGACAAAATCTAATTCCAAAATAACAAAATTAAGAAATATAAAAATTATAGAATTTTGTTCTACATCAAGAGAAAGAGAGGGGTCGTCAGGAGAGAAGAAGAGCACGTCGGAGATGAAGAAGAACTTCAGTGGCTGTGGTGTCTTCTCTCTCTCTCTCTCTCTTTCTCGTTTCTTTTTTCACTTTTTTTTTTTGGGTTTTCCCTAAGCCCTTGGTTTTGATTAGTAGGACAAGTGTCGCACCCTCACCAATCCACTTCTCTAGATCACTCTACCATTTCACTCTAGAAGATCGCCGAGTTAGGATCTCCTCCTTGGATTGTTTACTTGCAACGGCTTATATTCAGGCAGATTGAGCAAACTGCCCATATCAATTCATTAAAAAGAATAGGGTTAATTAAAAAAAACAGAAATTTGCTGAAGCTCAAACAAGAGGCACCGTCCATAAATTAAAACTAGGATACAGCCTCAGCCTCACCCTCAGCCTCACCCTCAGCCCCACCTCCTCCATCTCACCTCCTTAGCGACTCTCCCAATAGTGACCCACTCCCAAAACCTAACCCATCAGTTTGCCCTCACTTTGCAAACCAAAGCTCCCCTGCGAGTAAGCCCGTCAACGGGTCAGATTCGGATTGATCAGAATTCGATCCGATCTAATCAACCATTAATCCTAATTCGAATCTGATTATTAAAAATTCGATTATGCACGATCCGATCCGATTTGTTTTCCAATTCAATTCAATTCGATCCGATCCTTTTTTTTTTTTCCTCCTCACTAGTTAGCCAACCATATAAAGTTAATAAAATACCAATTATAAAAAAAAAAATGATCATGACATTGAATTTTGAATACTTCTACTACTTATAAGATTATACAAAATTATTTTTTTCAAGCAACTAAAACATTTAAGTATGTAACACATTCAATGCTTTTTTTGGAAAAGAAAAATGCTACATCATTCAATATCTAACTTATAAAAAAAAAATGCACCTAATAGCCAAAATAAAACATTAAACACTTCAATGTCTAACTCATTCAAAGTTAAATCATGAAACTTAAATTTTTGTTTCCGCTATCTAGCTCATCCAATGCTAAACCATGGCAACCGTAGACAAAAATAAAAGTTATAATAATTGAGAATTGATTTATACATTTATACCCACATTTTACCACAAAAACAAAAAGGTGAATTACACTAACAACCTTTATAATTTGATTCTTAATTTTTCAATTATGACATATTTGACTTTAAATTTTAAATCAAATGCACAAATG